AGTAAATTCCTAGAATAAGGAATCACGAAGCTGCGTTGTAGGGATAGAAAGAAGTGAAACTTTTGTGGGGAGGACATAGTAGATGGTTAGATAATTCGGTAAGTGGTTAGATAATCTGAACAAACTGAGACAAGTTGCAGTTCAGGAAGAAATTAAAATCCATGTCACAGATGGCCCAGCAGGGGTGAGCAATACCAACTAGTGTGTTTGTAGAGAATTGGCCTGTAGATGTCTTCCTCCCACAGACGTTGCTCACTCTGATGTCTCATGAAATTCTTGTCCATATTGAGCAGAGGTTGGTAAGTTTTTTAAGTAAATGGACTAATAGGAACTGTTTATAGGCTTTATAGGCTGACTAGTAGGATCTCTGTTGCAGTTACTCGTCCTCTGCCATCATAGTGTGAAAAGCACTGTATAAGCAAATGACGTGGCTGTGTTCATGAACACTTTATTTAACAAAAAGAAGCAGCAGGCAGATTGGGGGCACATGAGCTGTAGTTTTGCAGACTCCTTGTATTGGTTAACAGAAATACCACCCTTTTCATGATTTGAGAAAAGTATTACAGAGTTTTTTAAAAACTTGATTGAATTGAAGATCATTAAAAATGTAAGTTTCACTTAAAGTAGTTATAAAAACTGTTATAATTGAGCCTGTGTTGTGGTAAGGCACCCCTAGAGTCCAGCTATTTGGAAGGCTGAGGCAGGAGCTTGCTTGAGCTGAGGAGTTCAAGTCCAGCCTGGGCAACATAGTAGACCACATTTTTTTTTTTTTTAAAGAAAAATGAAAAACCAGATATAGTTGATTTTCTCTTGTGATTTTTTTAGCTCCCTTTAAAGTATATTTTATTTCATTTGTATTGATTTGCTTTTGGAAATTGGAAATCTCACTCTGTCCACCCAGGCTAGAGTGCAGTGACGAAATCCTCAACTTACTGCACCCTCTGCCTGCCCAGGTTCAAGTGATTCTCCTGCCTCAGCCTCCTAAGTAGCTGGGATTACAGGCCCATGCCACCACACCCTGGCTAACTTTTTGTAGTTTTAGTAAAGATAGGGTTTCACCATTGTTAGCCAGGGTGGTCTCGATCTCCTGATCTCATGATCCACCCGCCTGGCCTCCCAGAGTGCTGGGATTACAGGCATGAGCCACTGCGGCTGGCCTAAAGTATATTTCTGTCACCATGGTTTAATGTCTGATCATGATTTTTCTTCTTTATTGGTTATTTAGTTGGTTTTGTTAAGCGGAAGAGGTTGCACATTTGTAGGGGACTCTATACACTTATAGTCTTAAATGTACACACACAGATTTATAAATATGTGCATATATATGCATCGGAGAAGATAATGTAACATTTAATTGTGAAGTTTATATATAATTCAGTTTGACAGATGAATTTATTCAAGAGCAGCTTATGAAAATTAAAACTATACAACTTAGAAATTAAATACTGAATTTTAAGACTTTTTGTTTCTTTACTAAAAGCCATACTTTCTTTTTTTAAAGACAGGGTCTTGCTGTGTTGCCCAGGCTGGAGTGCAGTGGTGCCATCATAGTTGACTGAAGCCTCCAACTCCTGGGCTCAAGCAGTTCTCCCACTTCAGCCTTGCAAGTAACTGGGACTAGAGGCATGCACCAACAAGCGCATATCAAAAGCCATACTTACCTTTCATAATTTGACTGGGCACAGTGGCTCATACTTGTAATCCCAGCACTTTGGGAGGCTGAGGCGGGTGGATCACTTAAGGCCAGGAGTTTGACACCACCCTGGCCAACATGGTGAAACCCCATCTCTACCAAAAAATACAAAATGAGCCAGGCATGGTGGCAGGCACCTGTAATCCCAGCTGCTCAGGAGGCTAGGCATTAGAATCACTTGAACCTGGGAGTCGGAGGTTGCAGTGAGCCAAGATGGCACCACTGCACTCCAGCCTGGACAGCAAAGTGAGACTTTGAAAAAATATACACATGTATGTTATACATGCAATACACACATTTCATACACATGCAACATGCATGCTATACACATGCAACACATGCATGTTGTGCACATGTAAAACATGCAGTACATGTGTCATGCATGCAGTACATACACATTACACATATGACATGTATGACACTGGGTCTGTGGCCAGAATTTGATGTTTATGCAGTGTCATGTGCCATGCATGACATGTATGTGCCATGTATGCCATATGTGCCACGCATGGCACATGTCACATATGATGTATTTGTCATGAATAACGTGTGATGTGTGCCATGTATGTTGTATATGTGTTGTGTGTTATGTATGGGGACATGTAGGTTGCACATGGCACATGACGCACACATGTGATGTGTCGTTTGTGATGTATGACATAGATGTGTCATGTATAATGTGGCCTGTGTGGTGTCATGTATGACATGTATGAGTCGCGAGTCATGTATGGCCTGTGTCATGCATTACATGTGTGTCTTGTATGTGCCATGCATTACAAGTACATGCCATGTATGTGTCGTGTGTTGTCATATGTGGCATGTGGCATGCCTGTGTGTTATGTGACATGTGTGACATACATGATAAGTGTTCCGTGTATGGCACGCATGTGACATACATTTCATGTATGTGTCATGTACATGGCATATGTGCTGCAAGCATGTCGTGTCTCATGTATGTGCAGTACATGCCATACATGTGTACATGTTATGTGTGTCATGTGCATGCCATTGTCGTGTGTGTGCCATACATGTCAGATGTACATGTAACACGTTTAATACATTTTTTCCCCAGAATTTGAATGTTTTAAATTAAGATTTTTAAAATTACTGTTTTTGAGTTCTGAGTCAATCTGTGTTCTTGGACAGTTTTTTCTATCCATCTGTAAATTGTTTTCTTTGCCTTTTTTTTTTTTTTTTTTTTTTTTTTGAGACGGAGTTTCGCTCTTGTTACCCAGGCTGGAGTGCAATGGCACGATCTCGGCTCACCACAACCTCCGCCTCCTGGGTTCAGGCAATTCTCCTGCCTCAGCCTCCTGAGTAGCTGGGATTACAGGCACGTGCCACCATGCCCAGCTAATTTTTTGTATTTTTAGTAGAGACGGGGTTTCACCATGTTGACCAGGATGGTCTCGATCTCTTGACCTCGTGATCCACCCGCCTCGGCCTCCCAAAGTGCTGGGATCACAGGCTTGAGCCACCGCGCCTGGCCCGCCTTATTTTTTATAGTGGAACATCTTTATAGATTTAGAGCTAGAAATAGAGCCAGTATTCTTACAGCCTGTAAAATCATGTTTCCACTAAATTATATGTAATCTGTTAAATATGCTAAATTGTTAATTATCATTGTATTCTTCCTATATCATGAAAGTGCCAGGCGGGTGGATCACCTGAGGAGGTGGATCACCTGAGGTCAGGAGTTCAAGATCAGCCTGGCCAACATGATGAAATCTTGTCTTTTCTAAAAATATAAAACATCAGCTGGGCATGGTGGCGGGTGCCTATAATTCCAGCTACTTGGGAAGCTGAGCCAGGATAATTGCTTGAACCCGGGAGATGGAGGTTGCAGTAAGCTGAGTGAGATGTGTGCTTTTACTTTCCAGCCTGGGCGACAGAGCAAGACTGTCTCAAAAACAAAAAGTACTAAGTGATTCTTGGAAGTTCTGGATCAGATATTGTTTTGCCCTTATGATCATGGATAATCCCAGTCTTTGGTCATTGACTGTCCAGGGAATATTGTTTACTGATAGGAAAATATACTATCAGGTAATCGAGGGACATTTAATGACCATATTTGATCCCTGTTTTAAACCAGCTGCCTATGTACTGTTGTTTATACTCCTGATAACAAAAGGTTAGTAAACACATGAAGGAATATATCTGTGCTATCATATATAACACTTGAGCTTATATCTATTATAAGCATACACGTGTGAGGTATGGTCTTTTTTTTTTTTAGGTATGAAAAGCGTATGTTTTCCATTTCTATTCAGAATGTGAGCCTCAGTAATTAAGATTATTTTTTAAATCTTTTGTATTCTTCAGAGATCTCAATTAAAATGTCCAAATAGGGCCAGTCATGGTGGCTTATGCCTGTAATGCAGCACTTTGGGAGGCTGAGGCGGGCGGATCACAAGATTGGGAGTTCGAGACTAGCCTAGCCAACATAATGAAAGCATGCCTCTACTAAAAATATAAAAATTAGCTGGGCTTGGTGGTGCATGCTTGTAGTTCCAGCTACTCAATGGTGAGCCTAGATCGTGCCACTGCACTCCAGCCTTGGGTGACAGAGCAAGACTGTGTCTCAAAAAAAAAAAAAAACTAAATAGTGGAGATCTGGTAAATACTCCTTTGGGTTTTCCATATGGAAAATGGTTATTTAGTTTTAAATATTTCAATAAGCTTTGGAAAGTTGTGCCTACTATGTTTTAGTTTGAGAGTGAAAAAAGCACTTCAATACATTAACATCAGTAAAAATAGTAATACATAATTTTTTAAAACTAGACATTGGTGTAGATTTATGAATAATCAGATTTAGATCACAAAGTTATGGAGCCATGTACTTCATAAGTCTGAGAGAGTAGCAAGAAAATCTCCATTTTTAATACAATATATGTTACAAAATATTAATAAGCGTGTGGTTAAGTAGGTATATTCTTAGGTAAGAAATCATATGAAATATTAAAGCAGATTATGATTTTGTTTGGTCTTTTCAAGCCCGGGTGGTTAAAACTTAAGAAATGGTTCACGTCTCTAATAAGGTGAGGGGGATGTTACTTAAAAGAGCACTTGAGTATCCAACGGAAACGGAAGAGTTGTTTTTTCTTCTCTTAAGGAATTTGTCCAAGTCATTACAAATCCTGAGTCAAATACAGTCACAAGTATACTAACTACTATATCATTTAAGCTGGAGATTACTTGAAAAGCATGGTATTTCTCTTACCTTTTGGTAGTCTGGTTTGCTTTGTACTGTTACATTTTAAACAAATGGTGAAATATAGATGGTTTTTATGAATTGTTTGTTGTTCAGATGAGAGATCTCCAGCTGCTCAGTATGTAGACCTATTGCTGAATCCAGAGCGTTACACTGGCTATAAAGGGACCTCTGCATGGAGAGTGTGGAACAGCATCTATGAAGAGAACTGTTTCAAGTAACTGGAGGGGATGGGGGAAGAAGGAATGACTGATAGGGTGGGGAGATGCCAGGGGTGGTGGCTCACGCCTGTACTCCCAGCACTTTGGGAGGCCAAGGCAGGTGGATCGCCTGAGGTCAGGAGTTAAAACCAGCCTGGCCAACATGGTGAAACCCCTTCTCTACTAAAAATACAAAAAAATTAGCTGGGCATGATGGCAGGTAACTGTAATCCCAGCTCTTGGGAGGCCGAAGCGGGAGAATCACTTGAACCTGGGAGGAGGAGGTTGCAGTGAGCGGAGATCATGACACTGTACTCCAACCTGGGGGACTGAACAAAACTACGTCTCAAAAAACAAAATGAGAGGGTGGAGAGAGTAGTATTTGTTTCTGTTGGAATAAAATTATATACTACAATAGTCAAAACATTTTCTATTTGGGTATTATGCCTCTTTTTCAGGCCTCGATCTGTTTATCGTCCTTTAAATCCTCTGGCACCTAGCCGAGGTAGGTTTTTCATACGTACATTTTCATGCTTTTCATTATGTATAAAATGTCTTTGTAACTAAACTTCATATTGAAAAAAACCTTCACTTTTATATTTTGGTTAGTTTGAATGATGAACAAAAAGTATAAGATTAGTTCATAGTCAGGTCTCAAGATTTCTAGGCATGTTTTATATAATTACTCTTACTGAGTGTGTGCTATGTGCCAGACTCTAAACTAGGAAGTTTATGTAAAATAATTAGAATACATACGTAATCAATATATGTCAGATTTCCTGGGGACCTCTTAAAAATCTGGATGCTCAGGCCCTACTCTGTTCAAGTTAAGTCAGAATCCTTGGAATGAAAACTGTAGGCATTGGCATTTTTTAAACTCTCCAGATGGTTCTACTGTGCAACCAAGTTTGACAACCAATGTTTTATAACAGAGCTTCTAGACTTCGGGGTGCATACATGTCACCTGGGAGCCTTGTAGACATGCAGGTTCTGATACTGTAGATCTTGGGCGAGGCCCAAAAGTCTAGCAAGCTCCCAGGTGCTGACTCATGTGCCACACTGAGTAGGAAAAATGTACAAAAATTTTAGAAGTGTAGGCTGCTTTTAGCAGCGCTCTCTATCTGTACTATCCAATAAAATAACCAGTTTCCACATGGGACTGGTGAACACATGAAATTTGGCTAGTGTGAAACTGAATTTTAAATTTTATTTAATCTTAGTTTATTTAGATGTAAAAACCATATTGCCGTTAAACAGAACCTTATTGTTTTGGTAAGACTGCTATACCTTTGCATCATGTAACATTTTTGTTGTGGTGTGTGTGTATACTTTTGACTTTTAAAAATGTGTCGGGCCGGGCGCTGTGGCTCACGCCTATAATCTCAGCACTTTTGGAGGCCGAGGAGGGTGGATCACGAGGTCAAGAGATCGAGACCATCTTGGTCAACGTGGTGAAACCCCGTCTCTACTAAAAATACAAAAAATTAGCTAGGGATGGTGATGCGTGCCTGTAATCCCAGCTACTCAGGAGGCTGAGGCAGGAGAATTACCTGAACCCAGGAGGCGGAGGTTGCGGTGAGCCGAGATCGTGCCATTGCACTCCAGCCTGGGTAACGAGCGAAACTCCGTCTCGAAAAAAAAAAAAGTATCTATTGGAAACATTTTAAATTAACACTTGTGTCTGGCATTTTGTTTCGATGGAACAGCATTACTGTCATCAGTGGGGTACATCCTCATTCTATTCTCAGTGAGGAACCAAACCCTGGGAGCAACCCTGTAATTGATCTGCCATTCCAATTAGACCAGGAGTGTTTTAAGAAGTTTAATTTCCTGGTCTAAATTGATATCTTTAGACCTTTCTGAGAACCAAATGGACTTGAAAGGGTTTGCTCACTCTGTCACAATGTGGCAAATACTTTTTCCCCAAATTCACATTGAAACTGCCTGGAGAAGGAAGTTGGCCATGTTAAAAGGCATGTCTGGCATCTTATTCTTTGTCTCTTTTACTACTTTTGCCTCACAGCTGAAATCTTTTTTCAGAACCCAGTGACTGGCAGAGTTGCTGTGGTAGCCCTAGAGCCCAACCTCTGGACTCTTCCGCACCTCTAGGCCTCCCTGAAGTAGCACCCTGCCAAGGGTTTCACTGATTACAATTTGGGATCTACTCTTATTAAGGCATATCTGTGCTGAGGAGCAGTAATTTAAAAGAGAAAAATATTCCAGGATGGAAACAGTCACGTTCAGAGAGGATTCTGTACATAATGATTAAAGGAGCCACTTTATATATATATTAATTAATTGTTGAAAATAGTGGGTTTTATGACTATTTTAAGTTGGTTTCTGATATTTATTGTATTAAAGAATATGCAAATCTTTTTTTTCCTCCTTCTTTGAGACAGAGTTTTGCTCTTGTTGCCCAGGCTGGAGTGCAATGGCTCGATCTTTGTTCACTACAACCTCCGCCTCTTGGGTTCAAGCGATTCTCCTGCCTGTACCTCCCAAGTAGCTGGGATTACAGGTGTGTGCTACCATGCCCAGCTTATTTTTGTATTTTTAGTAGAGACAGGGTTTCACCATGTTGGCCAGGCTGGTCTCAAACTGCTGACCTTAAGTGATCCACCCGCTTCAGCCTCCCAAAGTGCTGGGATTACAGCTTGAACCACTGCGCCCGTTCAAAATGTGCAAAATTTATACTCTTTGACCTATATTCTAATTAAGAGGACTCATTTGCAGGATGTCTACTCACTTACCAAGGTTTGTGATATAATTAATAACAGTTTTAGTCTCAAAAAAATAGTAGTGGGATCTGAGCTGTGTTAAGACATTTTCTGAAATCTCTTTTATTATTTTCACTTTTAGGTGAAGATGATGGTGAGCAAAACTCATGTTTGTGTTTGCTTCAAGTGTGGAGGAAATATTTTTTAAATAGAATTTGATTTTTCCTTTATGTAATTTAAAAGAAAGTATTTCTATTTTTTAAGAAAATAGCTGCTAATGAATGGTAACAAAAAAAAGATTATATATATATATATAATATATATATATATTGAAACTCCGTCTCAAAAAAAAAAAAAAAAAAAAAAGTTTGCTCCCATGTTTTCAGATACTTAAACCTTCAGTGAATAAGATGCTTAAACCTTCAAAAAAAAAAAAAATAAGATTTATATACTTTTTTTTTTTTTAAAAAAAGAGGTAAGATCATGCTATGTTGCCCAACTTGGATCTGAACTCTGGGCTCAAGTCGTCCTTCCCCCTCAACGCTCTGAGTTAGCTGGGACTGCAAGTCCAAGCCACTGTGCCCAACTCATGATGTTTTGACTGAAATGTTTTCTTAAAAAATTTAAGTCAAAATATCATTTGTAAAAACACTCTTAAAGTTACTTAAATTATTTGTAGGATTTATTTCCTAGAACCATATGCCCATTTTTTTAAATTTTACTTGAAGCAGTCGATATTTTAGAGAGATTACTTAATCTGTCATACATTTCTCTTGTTGTTGTTGTTGTTTTTGAGACAGGGTCTCACTTTGTCACCCAGGCTAGAGGGCAGTGATACGATCTTGTCTTACTGCAACCTCAGCCTCCTGGGTTCAAGGACTTCTCCTGTCTCAACTTCCCAAGTGGCTGGGATTACAGGCCTGCACCACTATACCTGGCTAATTTTTTGTATTTTTAGTAGAGATGGGGTTTCGCCATGTTGGCCGGATGGTCTTGAACTCCTGGCCTTACGTGATCTACCTGCCTTGGTCTCCCAAAGATTGCAGGCATGAGCCACCATGCCCTGCAGAAATATTTTATAAACCTAAATTATTCTAGTTTACAAATGGCCATATAATATTTTAATCCAATTTTCTCTCTCTCTCTCTCTTTCTGTCTCTCAGGGGAGTCATTCTACACATGGCTAGAAGGTAAACAGTCTGTTCTAAATTGGATTTTTGTAAAAAAAAATACCTATTTATTTAGCATATTTTTGTAAAATTTAGGATTTTATTACCTAGTCAACTAATTTTGACAGTGTTTGAAAGAAAACAACATGTGTTTTAGGTTAATATATATGGGGATTAAATTATGTGAAAAATTTGAAGATAGTGGTCAACTAAAAACCAGGTTTATATAAATATACAGGCCAAATACTGTCATCAGGTTTTCATAGCTGGTTCCCTAATCTTATTTCTGTTCTATAAGTAATGTTCATTCAGACTACTTCTCTAGTAACCAGTATGCAAAATATTTTAAAATTGGAAGCATTCCTTTTGGAAAGAAGTACTTTTTATATATAAAATTAATGGAAGATAAATACGAATTCAAAAGGTTCTAAACATGTTTGCCCATGTTAATATAGTCTAACCTTCTCTAATTAAAAGATAAAGCAATATAGATCCTGATGAGTTAGATACTTTTGCATTCTTGTACTTCCAGTGTTGAAAATATCAAATGCCATTAATGGAAAGGTGAAATGTTGTAGAATTTTAGTAACTTAGGTTAATAACTGGATATATGATGCTTTTAAAAATTTACCTTACCAAATTGCCATTCATTTATGAAATTAAAATATATTAGTAAAAGATAAGCAAGTTGAATGACATAGGGAAATTGACATTTCATAGCCATAACCTTATAGGAATACTACAGAGTAAAACAAATTCTATTTTATGCATGTCAATTGGTCATGTTACCTTAGTAATATTATTTCTTTTTTGTTTGTTTTTTGAGTCAGAGTCTTGCTGTTGCCCAGGCTGGAGTGCAGTGGCTCATACCTCAGTGATTCTCATACCTCAGCCCCCCAAGTGGCTGAAATTACAAGCGCCCACCACCATGCCCTGCTAATTTTTGCATTTTTAGTAGAGATGGGATTTCACCATGTTGGCCAAGCTGATTTGAACTCCAGGCCTCAAGTGATCTGCCCACCCACCTCAGCCTCCCAGAGTGCTGGGATTATAGGTGTGAGCCACCACCTGGTCTATTTCTTTGTTTATAATGAACTATGTACATATATTGACCATTATTAAAGTGAACATTATTGATGTGCAAATTCTGTTAGGAGTCATGAGAAAATTGCTTATGTCAAAGATACTTAGCTTTGTTTAATTATTAAGGTGTACTCTAAAGATAGAAATTGTGGAAAGTAGCATTTAGGCTAGAAGAGGTAGTCACAGACTCGGAGTGTTAATAATGAGAATGAAATCTAGAAATAGTATTGGATTCTATGTATACTATATCAACAACCATTCTTCCAGTCTTACTGTTGTAAGTACCTGAATATTGATACGTGGTTCCAAAGAGCATTCCCTTATAGGCAACTGACTCAGCGTTTTCTGAGATTCAGTTTCCTCGTCTGGAGCTTGGAGAGTAGCAATAGCAATCCTACTGACTTACACTGTGAATGCAGATGATGCCTGTAAAGGTTCCTTTGGAAACCACTAAACCATGTCCAAATGCCAAATATTACTGTTACAGTAAATGCAACCCCTTTCTGAGAATTCAGTTGTTGAAAATGGATTTTAATGAAAGTAAGTCAGAAAGTGGAAGAAGAGAACCATTTTCTAAATTGTGTAATTAAATTTGCTGTGTGTTGTTAGAAGTTGGTAGATTCTGCCTTCATAAGTCAGCTTTTGCGGATGTTACTTAAGAGTGAGATTGAGCAGGCTTTTGCCTGGACCTTTAATTACTAATTAAAGATATGATCCAGCCTGGCACAGACTGTAGGGGAGGAGAAACTCTCCAGCAGTTTCCTGCTAAGTGTGTTGTGTGTCTGGGTGTACTTAGTTGGTGCATATTTTATTATTAATCTGGTTGAATTTGCCTGTTTTTCACAGTTTGTGGAAATGCATTCTATTCCTCTCCCCTCACTTATCCCCTACCCCATTTCAGTGTAGGGGCTTTGTGGGCTTTGCAAATTATAACTGCCTCCCAGTTTTCCAGGTCCTGGTTTGTAGGCATGTGGATTTTCGTGAGTTTTGCTTTGCTTACTGTCCCTTTTCTAGTCTTTGTCCATTTTATGGGACATAAGCACTGCTTAGAGAGATTGGGAAGAAAACAAAGTGAACTTCAAATCTGATATTTGTTACTTGATAATAGATTTGATGAAAAGTTTTAAAACAGGAGAAGTTAGTACTTAATGTTGTATTAAATGTATTCATATTGTTTGTACCTATTGTTATCATAAACATTCAAAATTGCCATATACTTTTAGGAGGAAGCTACAAAATAAAATTTAATTTCTTTTGGTCCCCATCCATGACAATTGGAATATTCTAGCAAGAATTCTGCATTAGGGAATGAGATCTCAAAAGAATTATTTTTTCCAATTAGAGGCTATTTGTGTCAGAATCATCTGTGATAGCACAGAAGAAAAGAGTAAAGTGCTAAAAAAATCTTGAATAAACACAAAGTAAGCCACATAAACACTCTTACATTAAAAAAAAATTCCGCCAGCATATAAATGAGACTTTCTACTGTATTAAAGCTAATTTTCCTGCATGGGAAAAGTGTTACAAACCCATTGGGTGTTGAAGGAGGGAAAAACTAATAGCCTCAGATCCAGTCACTTCTTAAAATTTACTTTCCTGCATTTTTATTTACTTTAAAATTTGTCTATAAAGAATATTTTCTGAAGTTTTTTTATTGTGGTGAGGTATATAGAACAGAATTTACCATCTTCATCATTTTTCAGTTTACTGTTCTGTGGTATTAAGTACATTCACAATGTGTATTACTCTTATTATGAGAGAAACTCTTATAAAATGGTGGCAGGGGTTAGGATAGGATGGCAGGCTATTTTGACCTCTTAAGTTCTTGGCAAAAAAGCCTCTGTAGCTTAAGGCTACATCAAATAACATTCTGTTATATTTCTGTGCTCCATCTGATATGATTCTGCTCAAGTAGTAAATAGTCATCATGTATTTTTTTTTTTTTTTTGATTAGTGAAAATTCCTGGATTCCTGTTTTCCAAGTCTCAGCTCCTTGCCAGTAGAACGTATAGTTAAAAAATTAGACAATTCCAGGGCAGAAGTTAATAAGACCCTTATTTCTCTGCTAGCATAACACATATAACGAAAGGAAAAGAAAACAATCCAATGACTTTATAATTACGTTTACTTTAGTAAGTTCTCAGCCTAAACCACAAGAAAACCTGGGCTGTTGCTGGCTGGGTAACATGGGAACTTGCCAGCTGTATCCGTAGTGTTTTGACCTCCAGTTGCCCAAACTTTTCTGCTTTTTTCAGCATTAAATTCTCATCATATTCAGTTAACTCCATTCTGAAGCCAAAATCTTACTTTGCTTTCTAGTGAGAGAATCTTGATCTAATCAGGTTTATGTTATTCCCTGATTTATTTTAATGTTGTTGAATCTTGCTTAAAAATAAGCCCATGTACCAAACCTCCTGGAGGCAGTATTTCTGATATCTAAATGGATGCGATTTCTTTTTCAATATTTTTCTGAATAGGTTTGTGTCTGGAGAAAAGAGTCTTCTATAAGCTTATATCAGGACTTCATGCTAGCATCAATTTACATCTGTGTGCAAATTATCTTTTGGAAGGTAAGCATATTTTTAAGTGGAGATTTTGCCTTCTATTAGTGTAAAAATTACTGGAGGGAATACATATCCTTTAGAGCAGGAAAAAATCCTATTTATTAAAATAATGTATTTCTCTTTCTCTTTAGAAACCTGGGGTAAGCCCAGTTGGGGACCTAATATTAAAGAATTCAAACGCCGCTTTGACCCTGTGGAAACCAAGGGAGAAGGTCCAAGAAGGCTCAAGAATCTTTACTTTTTATACCTGATTGAGCTTCGAGCTTTGTCAAAGGTGGCTCCATATTTCGAGCGCTCAATTGTCGATCTTTACACTGGAAATGTAGAAGAAGATGCTGACACAAAAGCTCTTCTGCTGAATATCTTTCAAGATACAAAGTAAGAATTGACTGACTGTGATTTGAAATTCTCCACCCTCTATTCACATGAGGTAGCACTTAGAGTACACGAAAACTGACTCCTAAAAGTTAGGCCAAGGGAGAGTAGAACAAAAAAAGGAAAGTGATCAATAGAACAACAGTATTTAAAAATAGTTCTAAAAATATATATGAAAAAGCATCAGTAAGGTGCTTTTTGCAGAAATTTTCACACTTCAGAATAGTGCTTTGAAGTATCACTAAATGTTGTATGAAAATTTAATGCTACTTCATGGTCTTACCAATTTTATATTCTTCTAAGTCATTTACTTATTTAATTTTTGAGATGGAGTCTCATTCTGTCACCCAGGCTGGAGTGCAGTGGCACAATCTTGGCTCACTGCAGACTCCGCCTCCTGGTTTCAAGCAATTCTCGTGCCTCAGCCTCCTGAGTAACTGAGATTACAGGTATGAGCCATTACACCCAGCTAATTTTTGTATTTTTAGTAGAGATGGGGTTTCACCTTGTTGGACAGACTGGTCTCAAACTCCTGGCCTCAAGTGACCCACCCTCCTCAGCCTCCGAAAGCTCTGGGATTAAGGGCGTGAGCCATCGAGGCCTCTAGTCACTGTATTTAAATTTTGCATTGAGAAGGATAAGGGAACATTAGCCTTACTTTTTAGAATATAACTTTACTTTTTTTCTCCAGGAAAGTTATTTATTTATTTTATTTATTTATTATATATGTGTGTGTGTGTGTGTGTGTGTGTATGTGTATATATTTTATTGTACTTTAGGTTCTGGGGTGTATGTACCTATGCAACTTTACTTTTTAGAATGTAACCTTAAAAAAAAATGCTTGGTCTAGAAAACTTGAGTTTACTGGTTGTTAAAATAAGCATGGGGGAGAAAAGTTATATTAAGAAGTGTTTAATGTATTAAATTTTAAAAAAAATTAAGAGAATATTGTCTATTTTTTACCTGGATTTTCAGTTAATTTTTTAGGTTACCTTACATCATTTATTTAAAACATTACAGTTTTACCAAATTTAACAGCCATCTGTATCTTGCTTTAATCATTTATAAAATAGTTGACATGTGAACTGTTTGTCACCTTCCTACATTACCAAACCTTACATCAGAGTAAGTAATGCATTTTAAATATTTGTAAGGATAGAAAATTTTATCAGATTTCTGATACAGAGTACGTGGATTTTTCATGTATGACTTATTACAATACTGTCATTTCATCAGGTCCTTTCCCATGCACTTTGATGAGAAATCCATGTTTGCAGGTGACAAAAAAGGGGCCAAATCATTAAAGGTAAAAAGTTCTTGATTGGGACACAGGGTTGGGAGCAGTTTACTCGTTATGTTTAAACGTTGTTCATCTAAACTATTTTCTTTTCCAGTTTTCCTGCTTGTTGAAGTTCATCTGACTGGATTTTTACTATAAACAGTACAAAAAAGTCCGTTCCATATTTCTTTCTCAGTTTCTGTTGACCAACTGCTTAGTGACTTGTTGGTCATTAGTACGGTCTAATAAGTATAACACCTTTATAAGTATCTTTCTAAAAGATACTACTTGAGCGAAAGTTTTCTTAGTTCAAAATCAGTGTATATTGTTGTTTGATGCATCTTTCAAAATACTATGAGCTTTTAGCCACTTTTAGGGCAATAAGTAATATATTTTTTTAAAGTGTACTTTATGAAATGTTAGTTTTTCAAACTATTATGTTTTTGTCCTGTTGGACTAATTTAAAAGGTAAAAATTACCTGTTAACATGTGGTATCAGAAGGAAAATATATTTTAGGAACATTACCAAACTTCATGTTAGGGATTCTTTATATTAATAATATAAAGAATATTCATAAAAGTATTTGAAATTGACTGGCAGATATTCTCTTTTTTTTAAACTTTAAATTTATTTTTTGAGATGGGGTCTCACTATGTTGCCCAGTCTGGTCTGAAACTCCTGGCCTCAAACTGTCTTCCCATCTTGGCCTCCCAAGTCCCTAGGATTTCAGGCATGAGCCATTGCACCTGGCTGCAAATATACTTTGAGTGCATCTTCACAGTCCTTTATATGCACTTCTGAAATCCAGGTAGTTTCAAAAACTGAAACATTTTCTCATGTTTGGCGCAAGGTAATTTTTTAGCCAAACCTGACCTAAACCAATGTAAGAATATAGCAGATGTTCATAGTTTTGTGGGGTATTTTGTTTTTCAAATTCTGCTTTGTATGAATTTTTTACATTTTGCTACAGAAACATTAATGGATTTGACTCCAGGGTGTTTGCTTACACTCTGGTGAGATGTTTCATAATCTATAGTACGTGTATTATATTTCTAAAATCTAAAAACTTACAAATTCTGAAACACATTTGACCCCAAGATGTTTTAGATGTGTATGCACTATAGGAACCAATGAATTAATACTGAGCGATTCTCCATTGGTGAGAGTTTCTTGGTATTTCTGAAATAAGTCATTTAGCTACAACTACATTTTAGTGTTGGAGGATTGTTTTCTTTTACAGTTGTTTTAGAGGCATATTGCCATTTTGGTGTTTAATGTTAATTCATTTTTATAATACTTCCTGTTTTCTGAGTATCAACACTACTTTTAATCTTCAGAACTGTCTTGTGTACCAGGGCAACTATAATTACGTATATTTTGTAAATGCGGAAAATGAGACTAAGGAAGGCCTAAAGTTTCACAGCAAGCCTTTAACTACACAATGCTGGGATTTTGTTTGCTACTTTTCAAAGATGTATGAAGGAGAACCTATGTCCATTTTCCGTCTGCTACAAATAACTTATATTACATGAGAGTATGACCAGCACAGGAGTTTTTTGTGTTCTATTTATATTGTCTTTCTTTGCCAAGATACTGATTCCTTTCAACCCTTTGGGCAGCTTGTGGTAGCCAGTTTTCAGGCTATTTGCCTCCAACTTCATGCAATAAAATATTTCCCTCGATGCAAAATAAAATGATTTTTATTTTCTACAGTTGCCATGTGAAACAAATGAGGACATTTTCTCTTAATCAATCTTATCCCTACATAAGGTGAGACTAACCTTAAGGGTATATTGCACACAGATTCTTACAGGCAGAAGAGTTTCTCCAGTGTAGGAAATTATTGTTGTTATTTTTTGAGATGGAGTTTCACTCTTGTTGCCCAGGCTGAAGTGCAGTGGCCCGATCTCAGCTCACTGCAACCTCCGCCTCCCGGGTTCAAGCGATTCTCCTGCCTCAGCCTCCGAGGTAGCTGGGGTTACAGACATGTGGCACCACACCTGGCTAATTTTGTATTTTTAATAGACATGAGGTTTCACTCTGTTGGTCAGGCCGGCCTCGAACCCATGACCTCAAGTGATCTGCCCACCTCAGCCTCCCAAAGTGCTGGGATTACAGGTGTGAGCCATCGTGCCCAGCCAGTGTAGGAAACTATTACAGCAAAATAGAGGGATCCAGTAAGCATCTCCATAGAATCTGCATTAGCAAACGTAGAGAACTGTGGGACCATATGTCTCACACAGGCCTGTTATTCATGTTGATTGAGTAACCATGACAAACATAGTGTGGTTCTAAGGAGTGATACAAAAATTGGTCATTGTTCTAGGACTAGCTTTCTGATATAGGCTTACACAAAGCAAAGGATCAAAACCAAGTGAAACACAAACTAGACACATTTATCGTTGGTTGTCTGTAAATACCAAATGGAAGCAGCAATTATATTCCTTAAAAGTAAAAACCATGTATTATTTACTTTTGTACCTCCCATAGTGCAGTTTTGGTGCTTTGTGTAAAGCAGCTCCTCAGTGAAAAGTCTATTGAATTAATATACAGAGTGAACTTTAGAATTTCCATTAATGTCTATATTTTATGTGCCATGTTATATAAGTTCAAATATTTTTCTTCACTGTTGGAAAAACACAACTCGGGTCAGGTCGGGTTGGCTAACACCGTAATCACAGCACTTCGGGAGGTCGAGGTGGGTGGATCGCTTGAGGTCAGGAGTTCAAGACCAGCCTGGCCAACAGGGCGAAACCTGTCTCTACTAAAAATACAAAAATTATCTGGGCACGGTGGCATGTGCTTGTAATCCCAGCTACTTGGGAGGCTGAGGCAGGAGAATCGCTTGAACCCAGGAGGTGGAGGTTGCAGTGAGCCAAGATTGTGCCATTGCACTTTAGCGTGGGTGACAAAGTGAAACTCCTCAAACAAACGAAAAACACAACTGATTTGTTAATAAGCATCAAAACTTATAGTTTAGCCAAATGCAGTTTGATTTTAAAAGTCTAACTAGACTGAAAATATTTTCTGCCTGCTAGGAGGAATTCCGATTACATTTCAAGAATATCTCCCGTATAATGGACTGTGTTGGATGTGACAAATGCAGATTATGGGGGAAATTGCAGGTATGTGTGTTGTCTTCTCTTTTAGAGCCATTACTAACCTTTATTTTTCCACTGAGTTCAAGCTTTTTATTAAAATGTCCTCATTGTTCACTGAATTAGAATTTAGAAATAGGCAGATCTAAAGTGTTTTTTCTGTTTTATTGAAAAAATTAATATTAAAGTATGTGTATGTGAAAGGATGATTCTCATATTATTCTTTGGTGATTTTAGTTTTATTGTTTCTGTGTTCCTATTGGTACAATACCAGATTCATTTGTGAAGTTGGTGGTCATTACAAACAGAGTATATTAATTATTTTACATATGTATATAGAAAGGTAAAATGCAATTATATAAAAAGATTTAAATATCAAGTCTTGATCACTGAATTTCTTTAAATGAGCAAAAGAAGGCCACTTAAAATAGGAAGGCTCCGCAAGATAGGCCCATTACTCTACAGAAGTCAGTGTCAAAAGGATTGTTTAATATTTTATCTTACTTTCTTACAAAGATAATTTATAGAAAATTAAGAGACAATTATTACAATGGAGGCTACACTGAAATCAAATATTTGTTTTTCTTTTTTTCTTTTTTTTTTTTTTTTTTTGAGACGGGGTTTTGCTCGTTACCCAGGCTGGAGTGCAATGGCGCGATCTCAGGTCACCGCAACCTCCGCCTCCTGGGTTCAAGCAATTCTCCTGCCTCAGCCTCCCTAGTAGCTGGGACTACAGGCGTGCGCCACCATGCCCAGCTAATTTTTGTATTTTTAGTAGAGACAGGGTTTCACCATGTTGACCAGGATGGTCTCGATCTCTTGACCTCGTGATCCACCCGCCTCGGCCTCCCAAAGTGCTGGGATTACAGGCTTGAGCCACCGCGCCCGGCCATTCTTTTTCTATAGTGCTAATAGTTGATAAATTATTAAGTGTAAGTATCAATAATCTCTGAGTTTCGAATTGCTAAAGGCTGTAAAAAATCCTTTATGGTTACAAATTGAACATTGTAATCTTAATATATTTTGAAGGTTAAAAAAGGCATTTTAATAATATGGAATAGTATGATATGTATTCAATCAGGGTTAGACTATTTAGGTTTCCTTAACAGCTTAGATATGTTATCATATATATAACCTGTGAGAAAGGAGAAACTACAAAGTCACATTTTTGTGAAAAGCTCAGTTCATATGAATTTCCTGTAATAATAGTGGCTATATATTCCTTTAAACCTTTATACTAGTTATTCTATAAAGTTAATTATGAGTTTGTTGGGATTTTCTCCAGACTCAGGGTTTGGGAACTGCCCTGAAGATACTATTCTCTGAAAAAGAAATCCAAAAGCTCCCAGAGAATAGTCCATCTAAAGGCTTCCAACTCACCCGACAGGAAATAGTTGCTCTTTTAAATGCTTTTGGAAGGTAAGAACCATTTTAACGTTGAAGATGTTTTATTTCCCATTGGATTTCAATAAACTGCAAAAATAATCTTCTCTGCTAAAAGTAGGGTTACTTTTGTTGACAGAAAAGATATTTTATATTGTATCTGTACTAACTTTGACATTAATGATAACAAGTCGGTTTCTCTGCAGGTCATAGGAAAATTTAAGTTTCCAGTTGCCAGTGTTTTTCAGTTCACTACCTTAATTTTGTGAGGAAGATATTATTTTTACTTGGCTATAGCTTGTTCAGCTAAAATAGCAGGAGTAAGGAATGCGTGATTAAGAAAGTGATAAAGGAAAATGATTAAAACCTTCATCTGCTTCTTATTTTTCTTAAATTTTTATTACTGATTTTTTTTCTCACCTTTTTTCTGTAGTTTGCTCTATTAAGCTCAGAAGTCATTTTTCTTGCACTCATTTCTACATGATTTACTTCTGTATATAGACATGTAATCTGCTTGCTTGTTTATATTGGTCACCAGTGGTTTAAAAAATAATTTGAATTTGCCTACAGAGGGTACACGTAATGCCAACTGACGAATACAGAATAGAAGGAAAAGAATCATAGAAAATAATACTATGCTTCATTGGGGAAAAAAAGAAAGTCAACTTGAGGAAGACTTCAAAAAAATAATAAGGGACTAAGTAATACCGAGATTATTTCTTGTTTTTCTTAACTTGTGTTTTAAGTTAAAAAGCAGTTAAATTAAAAATAAATTTGTATGTTCCCCCCTACACTTGGTTTTCGTTTTTTTTTTTTTTTTTAGGAGATGAGGGACCTGCTTTGTCATCCAGGCTGGAATGCAGTGGTGTGATCCTGGCTCACTGCAGTGTCCAAACCCTGGGGTCAAGCATTCCTTCCACCTGAGCTTCCCGAATAGCTGGGACTACAGATACACAGTATTTTGCCTGGCTAATTTAAAAAAAAAATTTTTTTTCGTAGAGATGGGGGTCTCACTCTGTTGTTCAGACTGGTCTCAAACACCTGGCTTCAAGTGATCCTCCTGTCTTGGCCTCCCAAAGTGCTGGGATTATAGGCATGCGCCACCGTGGCTGGCCCATTTCCCATCTTAATAGCAAGGATTTCACCTGTTGCTTCCCTGTATTTATGTAAGTTGAGATTTCAGACACAGGATAGATATAGACTATCCATAACCGGTATTTCATAAAAAAAATTCAGTCTATCCACTTGTGAGGCCTTGTAGAAAGATGAAACAGGAGATACTGAATGAAATTTGGTAGTGGTATGATCTCAGGCAAACACTGCTTTCCTAGTTTGTTTCCTTATAATGAGATCATATATGTGATGGACTTACAACATTGCCTCTCTTCCTAAGTGCTCAGTGAATAACTTTTCTTCTCTCAAGTAGTTAAAGAAATACTTTTTTTCTATCACCCCTGAATTGTATATTGTATGTAAGGATAATTGAACTTGTAGAATTACTTTTTTGTATTTCCCATCCCAGAGTTTACTTTTTGGCCTGGGCTGAGAAGCACTTCTTTTAATCAGTCTGTAATCATTTATTGAATACTATAAGCATCAATGGCTACGGGACACAGGAGAGGGACTCAGCGGGAGACAAAATAGTCTTCACCCTCAGGGAGCTGACAACATAAGACAAATTAGTGTGCTTGGGGAACAATGAGAAAAGAGCAATTATTTGGAGAGGAATGTGCAAAATAAATGTATTACACCAATTATAAATTATTTGAGATTCTTAAGAATTATATCACTGTTCCCATTACTAATCTAGTAACCTTAGTATGAAGTAACAGGCTTCCCTTGCCCCTTCTAAACCACTCTTAGTGAGAAATTGCAGAATACTAATTTAAACATGGAAGCTTCAGTGATTGGTGTTTGTTTTAGATTTTGCTTTCAAATTATAGTTCTTATAACAATATCAATAATTTGAAATATGTATGCATCATGTTAGCCTTACTAATACATGCTTTTTCTTTCCTCTGTAGGCTTTCTACAAGTATAACAGAGTTACAGAATTTTAAAGTCTTATTACAAAACAGTAGGTAATAAAGGCTTTTATGTGTCTAACTAGAGACATAAAATGACTGTGTAAATAAAGCCTTTTAATTTTGGACATTCAACAGAAAGACTAATCTGACTTCAAGAATTTTAAACTCTTAAAGAGAAAATTTAAATGCTCACTTGAATATTTATGATTGTTAATAGATTATCAACTAGAGATATTTATAAATGAAGTATATACTTTGAAAACATGTAAGTTATACTAATTTTGTGTTTAATTTCATGTGTTGTAAAATTCTATTTTGTTTAGAATTGGTTTTGTTTCTATTCTATTATCCTTTATTTCTAGTTGTCAAACTTTAAATGGCTATGTCTGCATTCTAATAACACTGTTCATTCTGTTACAGAAAAAGAATTAGGGAACAAATGTTGCTTAGGGCTGGTATCAGTGATAAAAATTTATCGATGCTTTTTAATGTGTTTTTAGCTTTGCCTCACTCTGTGTGTATCACTTTCTATAATATAAAGAAATATTATAATATTTCTATAATCTGGAACTGTCACCATGATGAATGGCCCTTTCAGTGCATAGTTACAGAAATTCCTTAAAATTCCCCAGGACTTCAATTTCATTGGTTTTTATTTGCAATTTTTAGTAGCTTTTATTGTTGCTGTTTCTAGCCTAAAGGACCTGATTTGGTTGGTAAAGGTGAATAAGACCTCTTCCCTAGGCTACCCAGCCAGATTTCATATGGGTGTAGTGGGCTGGCCCAAGGGTGTTCTTTCACTTAGAACTCCTTTTGGGCCAGGCGCGGTGGCTCAAGCCTGTAATCCCAGCACTTTGGGAGGCCGAGGCGGGTGGATCACGAGGTCAAAAGATCGAGACCATCCTGGTCAACATGGTGAAACCCCGTCTCTACTAAAAATACAAAAAATTAGCTGGGCATGGTGGCGCGTGCCTGTAATCCCAGCTACTCAGGAGGCTGAGGCAGGAGAATTGCCTGAACCCAGGAGGCGGAGGTTGTGGTGAGCCGAGATCGCGCCATTGCACTCCATCCAGCCTGGGTAACAAGAGTGAAACTCCATCTCAAAAAAAAAAAAAAAAGAACTCCTTTTGATTGTGCTTTTTTCTGCCCCTAGATATTTTAGGGACAAAGACATTTTGGAAATTCTCAGTTACTTTTAGGGAAAATAGTTGCATAAATATTTATTTAACAGATAACTTCTGTGAAATAAATTAGAATGGGACTATATGAATTTATAATGCCAACTGTGAAAATATACACAAAATTTGCTATTTTAACTTAAAGTAAGCATTTTTAAGGATTTATTTTAGAATACAATCTATGCAATCGTCTAACTCAGTGAGATTTTCCCTGATAAGATATATAAAAAGGTAGATTAGGTCAAGTCTCCTTTAAGCTTCCTCTCCTTTCACCTTTTGTTTTCACTGTATATAAATGATAATTTCTGTGATCCATACCAATAGAGAACTCTTAAGTCCTAAACTGTAATTTTCTAAACCTGGGATTTAAAAATCTTTAAACAATATTTAAAATCTTGATATATTTTTAAATGCCAGCAGATACAGTTAATTTGGAAGGGTGCATCTGTGTAGAAGTAATGCAGGTACAAGATTGCAAGTTTTTCCTTAGACTAGTCTTTTCTGAATTAAAGAATAAGTGCTCTTAAATCTGTATTTTATCCTACCAGAGTCTAAAATGTGCTCATTGATGATTTAGTGACATTTGAAAAATTGTATTTAGTTGGCTCACCCCTCTTTTAAAAATACTTAGATATATCTTGATGGGATGTGGTGGGGTATTAAGGTCTCAGAGTTATTTTCTCACCTAATTTCAAACCTTTATAAACTTGGGGTTTTGTTGTTGATGATAGTGGTATTTTTTGTTAAGTTGTTTAAAGGCTGACATGAGTGGACCCTCCCTCTACTTTTTCTTGAGGGTTACAAGTATTGTATGGTGGGCGAGGGGGCCTTAGGGCAAACTGTCTAAAAAGTGAATATCCAATTAATTTAACTAGTAAGTTAGAATTATTCTTGGTGTTCATTCAGAGTTTAAAAATGTGAAGAATTTGCACTTTATTACTATAAATGTAAAGAACTTTTTGATAGTGTTATTTCACCATTCTCTCAGTTAAAGATAAAGGCTATTATTTAAACTCTATTATTAGAGAAAATTCTTGGTCATATCCATTTTTTTTTTTCTGTAGTGTGATTTGTTTCAAGCTTAGTAAAACTAGCATATTGGCGTATATTCTAGGAAATTAAAAGATCTAGTTAGAGTAAAAACCGTTTTAAGGTTTTTAACTAATTTTTTTCACAACTAAAGTATTCTTAGGCTCTAATTCATTTTGATTAACTTTATTTTATCATAAATTGGATTGCAGGGAGCACCCTACATTTTTGTGCTTTATTTCTCAAATGATTATGTGAGCCTGGTGACATTTCATGGTTCTTGTGATATAAACTGTTTTTCCAATTCACATTTTTCATCGTGAAGTGATATCATACTAGAGTACTGTTTGCATTGTAAAAATGCTTTGCTGGTGAATACCTCATGGCATTTTGTCTTTATCTCATCACCTAATTTAAAAATCCAGCACTTGATAATATAACTGACAGACATGATTGTACCCACTGATGAAGTAATGAAAATGAAGAAAAGGAAAATCTTCCTTCCTTCAATGGCATAAGTTTATTTTTTACTTAGGTGGCATCTATGTAAGTTAGACAAACTATATATTAAAATTGATAAAACTTTGTTTCTCCTGTTTTGATTCTTAGATTATGAGGAGGATCAGACTAGTAATAGACTCCACAGTTTTGAAATTTGATGTCAAAGCATTTTATTTTGACATTTTTAACATTGTGAATTACTCGATATTTGTAATCTCTGTATGTATATGAAACACTGTGCCATGTTTTTCAACTTTGCCTATGTGCCACTGTATATAAGAAAGGACAGCTGTTTTGATCTTCATCAGCATTGCCTTCAGCTGAATATTTGGGAACAGTTCACAGTAAACCTCTCAGTAGTTTGCAAACTGAGAGGTACCTGCAGAAACCATAGCTATTCACCAAAATACACAGATTAGGTGCATGGTATCATGGAAATTATTTGGTAAAAAAACAAAACACAAAAATCTACGCATACTGTATTTTAAGTAATATCTACAGGTGCAGCTTTGATTTTAAACAGAATTCCAAATAATTTACTGTTGTACCCACCAGAATCTAGAAAATGTGAATTAAAGTACATGTTCTGCAATCTTTTCTGTCCTGTTTTTCCTCTTAATTTTAAGTGATTCTTTTTATGGCACGAGGATTTGATTGTAACTTGTGGAGAAGGGAGAATGATGTATTTATAAGTAGTCTGAGGTGGTTTCTTATGGAAAGCATTGGCAGGCATTGTCTTAAGGGCTTTTACACGTATCATATCGTTTGGCTTTAAATAAATACACCATTAATCTTCACAATGGCACTAGTAGGTAGGTACAATTACTTCTCTGTTTTATAAGTAAGACTGAAGATAAAAAAGGCTAATTAACCTGTCTGTAGTCACAAATTCTAGGTTATGGAGCAAGAATTTGAGATGAGAAAGACTAATTCTAAAACCTTTGTGACGTTTTGTAAATTGGTCTATTTACCATTCAATTACAAAGTGGGAATTTTTAAAAGCATCGTTTGATTTGTATTGAATCATAAAGCTTTTAAAATATGCTTATTTTATTTAATTTTTTTAATGTGTAATACATTCACATGGTTAAAAGAAACAAACAGTATAAAAAGTTATTCAGTGAATGTCTTCCTTCTATCCGTGGCCCAGCTTCCCACACTGCACACACACCTCCCACCATAAATTACCTCTATTCTTGGTTTCTTAGGTTTCCATTCACACTGCTGTAGACATGCACAAACATATACAAATGCAAAGTCTTATTTCTTCTCTCACTTTTACCCCAAAATTGACATCATATACATACTATTTCATTTTTTCCACCTAATATTTCTTGGCAGTCTTCACATATCACTAGTTTTCTCATTTTTGTAAGTAGATGCTTGGTATTCTGTTATATAGATGTGCCAATGTTGAATTAACCAGTCCTCTATTAATGGGCAGTTGGGTTGTTTCCAGACCTTGTACATATGTCACTTCACATTTAGATAAGTATTGTGCCTGTAGGATAAATTCCCAAAGATAAGAATTTTGGGGGCAGAGAGAGTATGTGCGTTTATAATTTTGACAGATACTGGCACATTGTCTTTCACGGCGGTAGTCACCAATTCCCAAACCATCTGCCATTTATGATAGTACTTGCTTACCTGCAACTTTACCAATGTAGATGTTATTAAAATGTTGGACTCTGGCCATTCTGATAGATGAAAATATCAATGTGTAAATTCTTTTATTTTACTTAAAAAAAAAAAAAAAGAGAGAGAGCGAGCTCAGGTCCCACTCTTATCACCCAGGCTGGAGTGCAGTGGTATCATCATAGTTGACTGTGGCCTCAAACTCCTGGGTTCAAGTGATCCTCCAGCCTCAACCTCCCAAATAGCCTGGGTTATAGGTGCACACCACACACCTGACTGCTCAGTGTGTAAATCTTCATTATGCCTAAGGTTGAGCACCTTTGAGTATGTTGAGGAGCCGTTTGTATTTCCTTTTGTGCTCCTGTGTTTTGTTCCTATCCAGTCTAGTGCACTGGTCCGCCCTCATTCCTCCCCTACCTTTCTTCTTCTTTTATAGTGTTTATATTGTTGATATGTTATTTGTTAGGGATATGAACCCTTTGACAGTGACACACTGGAAATATTTTCTTTCCAATTTGTCATCTGTCTTTTGCTTTGCTTCTGATGGTTACATCATGAGTTTTTAAAAAGTTTTATGTAGTCTGAATTACCAATTTTTAGTGGTTTCCAGATTTTGAATTCTCAATCTAGAGCAATCGAATAATTCACCTAAATTCTACATCTAAATTTTGAACCTTTGACGTTTATTCTGGCCTAAGATGTGACTTATGGATCTAACCTAATTTTTTCTGCAGGTGATTAACCCAGTTATTCCAATATATTGATCTGTGTTTTCCTCACGTGTTAGAGAGGCTGCATTGATCTGATCTTGGAACCCCATATGTATTCAGCTCTGTATCTGGGTTCTGTTTCTAGTTCATGGGTCTGTTTAGTTGTGCACCAGTACCACATTGTTTTAATTACTCAGGCTGTACTTTTAATCGAGTGCACTGGTCCGCCCTCATTCTTCCCCCCACCTTTTTTTTCCTTTTTTTATACTTTTTCTAGCTGGTCTTATTTTTCCCTATGAGCTTTTAAAAATTTCTTAACATATAGAGCATACTAAAACTCTCCAACTCAAAAGTTCTCTCCCAAGGGTTGCACTTTTAACCACTTACTTTGTCACTGTTCTTTTGATACTTTACCTGATAAAGATATACTTCTTACTCCTTTTAAATTATTAGTGTTCTGTTTGCCAATGCCCAAACAGATGATGGCAGATAGAGGCAGGACGCAGT